ACAAAGCACGTTCCTGAGCCACCTGCATCCATCGACTTCCTGCATGTCTTACCAGGTCGTCACTCCATCTAGTGGGGAATGCTCTACACTTCGGCCGCCACTCGAGAACCTTTTTTCCCCATCGGTTGTCGGTTCTTCGAGCTATAGGCCATATATTTTTTATTTTATTTTATTTAAGGACCAGTAAACAACTTCAACAGAGGAACTAATCTTAATCCTAAAATTAAATTTAGTGAAGCCAACACCACCAGTCTCAGATAATAATTTTAACAGATTAAATTACAAAAATGAGAGATGTGAAGGAGGACTAAGTACATAAGTAATATTACAAAAAGACATTAGACATTACATTAACTTAAACTCTAATTTAAGTAGACAAGAGTTTAGCATTATCGAACTATTTAAAAACAAAAATTAAAATCTAGCAATAAACAAAAAATAATAATAATAAACTCAAAATTTTAGGTTTGATTTCAAAACAATTATATAATTCAATTGTATTATGATTGAGTTTTGATTTTTTCCTTTTCCTTTCTTTAGTTTTTAAGACTCATAAGCTTATTAATTACTTTGTTTCTAAAGGAATTTGCACGATTATTAAAAATGTCAATGTCACAAAAGTGATCATTATAATTTTGCATTAAACGATATAATAGCGCTCTTTTGCCAGCATTGGTTCTACATAAAGGAAGGGCAAATGTTTGACATGAGCATGTTGATCTTACATGTGACCTAGTAGGTACACGAAATTGCAATTTTTTTGTTACAGGAATGCAATCATATCTATCATTACAAAGGTCAAATAACAACATTGCTGCTAATTGTTGTCGTCTGCGCTTTAAACTTAACATTTTGTATTTATTTAAAATTATATTATAGGAACAATATTTATGCTTACATCTATAGTACATTGACTTAAAAAACTTTTTTTGTACTCTCTTAATATGGTCGGTATAGACATTATAGAAAGGATTCCACAAAGCAACTGCGTATTCCAACTGAGAGCGTATCAATGCCTTATACAAAAAGATATATGTTGCTGGGTTGGTGAAATCCTTACAGGATCTCATTACAAACCCAAACATTTTAAAAGCTTTATTACATATTTGTTCAACATGTGTATCGAGTGTTAATTTACTATCAATAGTAACGCCGAGGTCACAAACAGAATGTACTTTTTCAAGAGTAGAGTTGCACAAAGAATATGATTGTTGATTAAAATTAATTTTCTTAGTCACAGTTAACATTTTGCACTTATTAATACTAAGACTTAATTTATTTTTTAAACAATAAGCAGAAAAGCGGTCCAAGTCATCCTGAAGTCTGAAGTGATCCTCATTGTCACAAATGGTACGATAAATTTTAAGGTCATCCGCGTATAATAAAAAATTACTGTGCTGAAAACACGATTTAATATCATTAATAAAAAGTATAAATAATAGCGGTCCCAATATGGAACCTTGTGGTACCCCAGAGGTGACAGGAACATACTCTGATTCGTAACCATTAATAACAACCCTTTGCGTACGGTTAATTACGTATGATTTAAACCATCATATATGGCCGGCTCACTGCGACTTCAGCTTACTAATCCGTTGGGTGATGTCGTGCAGATATCCTCATTTCTAAGTTTATCACGTGGAGAAACTTCGAGCATAGCCCTCTCCATAGCTCGCTGAGTGACCTTGAGCTTCCTCATCCGGCTAGCAGTGAAGGACCACGTTTCAGTTCCATAAGGCATCACTGGCAACACGTACTGGTTGTACAGTCTCGTTTTTAAGTTTTGAGGTATACCTGACGACCAACCCGCTCGCCAAGCGTGGCAACTATGGCAACATACCCCCCAAATGGATAAAGATAACAAATGTTACTGAAATTAATTAATTATGCTTAAATGGCTTGGTTCTCGTTTAATCGATCATGCGGGTAGATCTGTCTATGACTTTGCTTTGGCATATGGTCTAACACAACTGGTTACTTCGCCTACGCGGATCCCAGATGTGGAAGACCATGTACCTTCCCTGTTGGACCTTCTGCTGACCTCTCATCTGGACGGATATCAGGTCTCCGTCGATGCCCCTCTGGGCTCTTCGGACCATTGTCTGATCCGGTGTACGTTGCCACTCACGCTCCAATCGCAGTTGCGATCTGCAGCTTGCCGCCGTGTTTGGCACTATAGGTCAGCTGATTGGAACAGGATGCGGTCTTTTTTTGCATCGTACCCTTGGGGGCGGGTTTGCTTCTCGCCGGAAGATCCCAGCGCTGTTGCCGATTCTGTTGCTGATGTGGTACTTCAGGGTATGGAACTTTTTATTCCATCCTCTGTGGTGCCCACCGGAGGCAGATCCCAGCCATGGTTTGGTCGCTCCTGTAAAATAGCATCACGCTATAAGCAGAAGTGCTAGCGGGCCTGGGCTGACACATCAACGTCTCGGGATGTAAACACCAGCGCACTTAAAAAGAAGTATAATTCCGCCTCCAGGTCTTTCAAAAGCGTCATTGCCAAGGCAAGGTCTGAGCACATCGGCAGAATTGGCGAGAAACTAGTTCGCCTTTCTTCGAAAACCCGTGCATTCTGGTCTCTCGCCAAGGCTGTCCAAGGGAACTTCTGTCAGCCATCTCTTCCATCTCTGCACAGGGAGGACGACTCACTGGCCCATGCCGCAAAGGAGAAAGCCGATCTGTTGAGCTCTCTTTTTGCGCCCAACTTGAATCACACACCGCTGACCATGCCGCAATGTGAGTGCTCCATGCCGGATGTGCAGTTTACACAGCGCTCGGTTCGCAAAGCACTTTTCTCCGTGGACGTCAGCAAGTCGGGTGGGCCCGATGGAGTCCCTCCCATTGTGCTGAAGACGTGTGCTCCGGAGTTAGCACCGGTTTCAACGCGTCTTTTCCGGTACACCAACTCCCAAGGCGTAGTCCCAAATTCATGGAAGATAGCTTTGGTCCACCCAATCCCTAAAGAAGGCGACCGCTCAGACCCGTCCAACTGTAGGCCTATCTCCATCACCTCCTTGTTCTCCAAAATAATGGAATTCATTATAAACTGCCAGCACATGAGATACCTTGAGGATCACCAACTGATTAGTGACCGCCATACGGTTTTCGTCGGGATCGATCAGCTGGTGATCTTATAGTATATCTGACTCATAGATTGGCGGAGGCAGTAGAGTCCAAGGCAGAGGCATTGGCCGTTAGTTTGGACATAGCGAAGGCCTTCGATCGGGTCTGGCACAAAGCGCTTCTTTCTAAGCTTCCTTCCTATGGGCTTCCCGAGAAATTGTGCAAGTGGATCACCAGTTTCCTTGCTGATCGGAGCATCAAGGTCGTAGTAGACGGTGCATGCTCTGATTTCTTTTTAGTACATTGGACCCCGCTAATTATAGACCTATTTCTGTACTACCAACTCTCAGTAAAATTTTTGAAAAAATAATTTTGGATCAATTGTTAATTTTTTTTAATACAAATAAATTACTTCATAAAAATCAATTTGGTTTTACAAGGGGTCGCTCGACGTCTGACGCCGGTGTTGAGCTTATGAAATATATTTTTAATGCCTGGGAGAATTCACAAGATGCCTTAGGTATTTTCTGTGATCTTTCCAAGGCTTTCGATTGTGTTCATCATGATACATTAATCAGGAAACTACAACATTACGGTGTAAAAAATATGGCGCTTAAACTTATTACTTCTTATTTAAGTAACAGAACTCAAAAAGTCGTCATTAATGGTAAATGTTCCTCCGGATCGGTAGTATCAATGGGCGTTCCTCAGGGCTCGATTCTTGGCCCATTCCTGTTCTTAATCTATATTAATGACTTACCTTATCTTGTAGGGGACAATCACGATATAGTATTATTTGCTGACGATACCTCTTTAATTTTCAAACTGAAACGGCGGTCAATTAAATATGACGGTGTAAATAATGCTCTATCGAAACTAGTAAATTGGTTTAACGCCAAAAATTTGCTCTTAAACGGCAATAAGACAAAACGTATTAAATTTACAATACCTAATGTAAAACATTCGAAAACCAATGTGCTCTTAAATGGGGAGGAGTTGAGTCTTGTGGATACCACTATTTTTCTCGGTATTACTATTGACGCGAAACTTCAATGGGGCCCCCATATATCTAAATTAGCAAGCAGACTTAGTTCTGCAGCATATGCTGTAAGAAAGATTAGAAGTCTCACAGATGTTGAGACAGCTAGGTTAGTGTATTTTAGTTACTTTCATAGCGTAATGTCTTATGGAATTTTGCTATGGGGTAATGCGACTGATATTGAAGCTATATTTGTTTTGCAAAAGAGAGCCGTACGGGCGATTTATAATCTAAATTGTAAAGAGTCCCTTAGAGAAAAATTTAAACAAATAAACATATTAACTTTGGCATCGCAATATATTTATGAAAATGTAATGTATGTACATAAAAACATAAATAGCTTTAATAAGAATAAGGATGTTCATACCTTAAACACTAGAAACAAACATAAGCTTGTAATGCCACTTACAAGACTCCACAGAATTAATAATTCATTTATGGGGCAATGTATACGCTTTTACAACAGAATCCCAGAACATGTTCAAAGTTTGTCAATAAACAAGTTTAAAAGTTTTATTAAAGAAAAACTGTACAAAAAGGGTTATTATAATATCAAGGAATACATGAATGAAAATAACCCCTGGGAATAAGTTGATCGCCACCATGCTGGTTCTATGAAAATTCATTTAAAATTGTATAAACAAAATTATTGTTAAGTGAAATTATGTTTAAAAAAGAAGTCCCGCTGGGTTTCTTGTTGGTTCTTCCCAGGACAGTGGTATTTTCCGAACCAGTGGTAAATAAAATAATGACTTTCAATAAGTATTATGTAATAATCCATATTGAATAAAAATCATTCTATTCTTCTATTCTATTCTATTTCTAGCCTATCAACGCTGGTGTTCCACAAAGCTGCGTGCTAGCACCAACGCTGTTTCTCCTGCTTATCAATGATATGTTGCTAACTAGTAGCATTCATTGCTATGCGGACGACAGCACTGGTGATGCCTTATATACCGGCCGTGCTAATATTTCTCGGGAAAACGTCGCCGAGTACCCGGACAAACTTGTGTCTGAAGTCGAGTATTTGCTTTACAAAGTCTCGGAATGGGGCCGACTAAATCTAGTTCAGTTCAATCCCCAGAAGACACAATTTTGCACGTTTACCGCTAAAAAGAACCCCTTTGTCGTATCTCCTCAGTTTAAAGGCACTCCCCTTGCTGCCTCAGCTAGTATCAGAATCCTTGGCATTGACATATCGAATAGTGTGCAGTTTCGTGGTCGCTTGGAAGGGAAGGCCAAATTGGCCTCTAAAAAGCTTGGCGTGCTCAGCAGAGCGAGACAGTATTTCATGCCGGCACATCGCTTGCAACTTTACAAAGCGCAAGTTCGGCCCCACATGGAATACTGTTCTCAACTCTGGGCCGGGGCACCCCAGTGCCAGCTCCATGCACTTGACCGCATCCAGCGCAGAGCGGTTCGAATCGTCGACAACCGAGTTCTTTCTGATCGGCTCGATACACTGGCACTGCGTAGAGATGTTGCATCTCTTTGCGTATTTTATCACATCTATCACTGGGAGTGTTCTGAGGAAACGTTCGGACTAATTCCAGCCGCTCAATTTGGATGATTGGCGGTCTACCACGGTGCGATTTAGAAGAAGTTTTTTCCCTCGCACAACTTCCTTGTGGAATAAATTACCACCAGCGAATTTTCCGGACCGATACGACTTAGGAACCTTCAAAAAAAGAGCTTACACCTTTCTAAAAGGCGGGCAACGCATCTGCGATTCCCCTGGTGTTCCGGTTGTTCATGGGTGGCGGTAGTCACTTACCATCAGGTGAGCCGCATGCTCGTTTGCCCCCTCTTTTATAAAAAATAAAAAAAATATATTCTTTAACCCTGTAAAATCAGTTCTTTTAAATCCATTCCTTGGTTAGATTTTTTAAATATTTTCGAGATAAAGGTACATTTTTGAAACTATCTGGTAAAGCTCTTAAGTTAAAGTAAGAATATATTCACACCTTAATGACCTCTTTCAAGCATTGAAAATTTGAGAGCATTTTGAAAGGAATTATAATTAAAAAAAATTATAGCGCTTATGGGTTGGCTCGATCGGGATAGGATCATGCTCTCCAAGGTAAAATAGCAGCTTACTGCTACTCTGTTTCGTATGGTGAGTGTAGAGAACTGGATACCATTTTTACTGTAAACGAGGCAGTCTATCTTACTCCTCAGGGACAACGCATCTGCATTTTGATGTTTAATTGATCAGGTGGACTGTGTGCTCTTTTGTCACTCATATTCTATAAAAAAATGAGGTTTCTCTGACCGAAAAAAAACGGTAAAAGAAACTCTTTAGTGTTATTGTAATTAGTATTTTTTGTCATTTTTTAAGTTAATACTACATAATATAATACATACGCAACGGATAACGATACCAGACTCATTAATAACTTAGGTATACGTCATACTTGTGAACAGCTAGTTACTTCTGGGAGTTGGTCTGGTCGAGTTCGCTGTACACTGATGAGCTCCCCTTTTCTATGTAATATTTATTTCAAACAGCTGGTCATCAACGAGGGGGGGAGAGAAGTTCCATAGCACAATGTATTCTAGCTTAGGCTCCCGCCTCCCGCAAATTTATATACTTTTGAGTTTATTTAATAAAAAAATGTATTTAACAGATAACTTATGCAGTATACTATTCATGGGAGAAATGAATAAAGGATATTATTATTATATCCGAGCAGACCTCATAAACATCACCTGTTTACAGTTTTGACGCAAGTGGCAAGCATCACCTCTAATATAAAAAAAAAACAAGTTAAATAAAATACATATACTTAGCATGGTTCCTCACGTTCCTTGATATTATGGACGGACTAGGGCAATCACGGATCGGCGCGGCGCAACATCTATGCGTGGCAGAGTCACGCTGCAACTATGTTATGTTGTTGTACAAATTTGTCGGCTCGACCGGGATAGGTTCTCACTCTTACAGAATACCAGCCTGAAATAGGAGCTCAATGCTACTGTGTTTCGTATAGTCAGTGTAGAGAACCGGAGATTCTTTTTACTGGAAACGAGGCATTCCATCTTAGTCCTCAGGATTTTCTAAGATAAATTTAGATGGCTATAGGCCACAGCATACACTTACCTTCAGGTAGACTGTTTGCTGCGTGTTACGCTTATTCTATGAAAAAAAGAAACATAATATCTAATGATGAAGGGTCTAGTATGCAGTCATAATTAATTCAGTTATTATCTATTGCTGTAGACACGTCTGTAGTACCTAGGTTACTTCAAAGATGTGGTGCGAAGTAAACACGGCCGAGCTAATCAAAACCAGACAAACGTCAAAACAAAACTAGCTTATTAACGCTAGTGTTCCACAAGGCTGTGTGCATTCACCAACGCTGTTTCTTCTGCATATCAATGATATGTTGCTAACTGGTATCATTCATTGCTATGCGGATGACAGCACTGATGCTCTATACACCGGCGTTGCCAATATTTCTCGGGAAAATGTCGCCGGGTACCGGAACAAACTTGTGTCTGAAGTCGAGTCTTTGCTGAACAAAGTCTCGGATTGGGGCCGACTAAATCTAATCCAGTTTAATACTCAGAAGACACAAGTTTATGAATAAATGAACTGAATGAACCAGAATAAATGCTGTAGAAATGCGTTCCTTAAGGAGTATGCTAGGGCTGAATCTGAATGACAGGGTGAGAAATAGTGTGATAAGAGAAAAGTGTGGTTTGCAAGATGACGTTGTGACAAGGATTAAAAAAGAAATGCTTCGGTGGTTTGGTCATGTAGAAAGAATGAACGAGGAAAGAGTGACAAAGCAAATTTATGTTGCGGAAGTGAACGGCGGGGTCGGGAAGGGACGCTCTAGACGAAGGTTTATCGACCAAATCGGCGATACATTAAAAATGGGCCAGATTAGGAGTACCCTTAACCGACGAGCGTGTATGCGTAGATATATGGATGTAAAAGAGGCGAGAGAGGTGTGTCAGGATCGCGCCAAATGGAAGTCCGTAGTCTCTGCCTACCCCTCTGGGTGACAGGCGTGAGTGTTTATGTTTATGTTTATATGTTCCTACAGTATAAAATATCACTGATGTTTACAGCGTTTTCCACAATCGAGGCCGTTTTGCTTGAAACATACCTACAAGTAAGTTCGATAGAAAACATGATAAGATACCAATATTTCGCGATGCCAAATTGCTTCCTCATAGCTCGAAATTTATATAGCTAAGTACAAGTGTAAGAATGGCTATTGATAAAGGTAATATATTCATTTTAACCTTGTCTAAATTATAACAAATAAAAACCGGAAAAACGAATTCTCACTACCTACAGAGTAATAAAAATTAAATGAGAGTTAATGTATCATTAATTCCGAGGCAATTGAGGAATATATAATTTTTTATCCAAGTAGGTACCGTGGCAGAGTCACGCTGTAGCTATATTATGGTTAAGCCGAGATGGGTTGGCTCAACCGGGGATGGACCACGCTCTCACAGAATACCAGAATAAATTAGCAGCTTAATGGTGCAGTAATCGTATAATGAGTATAAATAACCGGAAACCCTGCTGGAAACGAGTCATTCCATTTTAGTCCTCAAGGATGGCAAAGCATCTGTATTTTGATTCTTAATCGAAGATAGATGTAGATATCTGCCACAACATCCATTTACCACATTAGCTGAACTGTGTTCTTGTTTGACACCCTTATTCTATAAAAAACACAAGTAGCCCCACAGGTAATCTCTTTGAAATTTCTTTGTATATGTAAGGCAGAATAAATACCTAAACTAATAAAAAGTCAAACCAAATATTTCGAAATATTAAGTCTTTACAGATAAAACTAAAGTTTTATTGAACAATATAATAGCTATGGTTGTCTTAGAATTCTATATTCTTTTTTTTAAAAAAAAAACGTTACCCCCACACTAGGATTTTCTCCTGTGTCGTGGAGGAAGTTTACAAACAGAAATTGCACAAGGACAAACATCCAGACCCGGAACAATTATTTGTAGGCCTGACAATCTATTGTTCAACAGTGGACTTTGGGTAGGCTGTAATAGTAATGGTTACTTTTATATTCTTTAATAATAATGGCCAATGTATTTTGGTGATGAGTTCTCTTAAATTATTACAAAGCAACGGGTGTTTTATATAAAAACTATTTCAAACATCTTAGTGAATCTTAAAAACATTTTACGTAAAAAATTCCCAAGTCTTTTATAAAGTGAGACCAGAATAAAAATTTCATTATGTCGATTTTTCTGATGCGAAATTAGAACTGAGTGGTCTTTATGTAAGGTACCAAACACGGATAAAAAAAACAAGGGGAATTCTTTTGAGAAATCGTTTTAAAGAATTTTTCTTTGTTGACAAACAAATTAAAAAGAATCAAAGGAAGTAAGAAAGTAAGGAATTAAAGCCTCAGAAGATCATTAAAAAACTCGCGATAGTGAAATTGCTTGATTTCTCGTGAGTACCTAAAAAAGTAAAATTTCCGCTGATTTTTTTTGATCCATAGTATACATGCCTTCCTCTCTCTTGAGAGGATTTTGGAACAAAAATCATTTTTGCTACTAAAATAATTAGCCAATGACACTCACAGTAAAAATAAACAACGAATAAAATTTCAAACCTTGCAATCAACTCAACATTAACTCTATTTTAGACACTAAAACGAAAAAAGGGAGTGGACATGATATATTAAGTTTTTGCATTGTCCCTTAGTTGAATTATATTTATTTTCCTGATTTTACATTGGTTCATCATTCACTCTACCACTCGCGTAAAGTTACTCCAAGCGTAGTTATATATTCAATTACACGGAATAACGATACAAGAATTTATTCGAGATTTAAATCGTGGTACTGCTTACATCTGGAATAGTTAATCGTGTACAATACCGAAGTTTGGTTAAATCCACCCTAAATCAAGAAACTGTATCATTTATTAAAATACACTGTACATGTGCAATGCAGGAAAATGTTATATGAAATGAAATTGCCAGCACCCGTCAAACACAGACAAATACGTTAAAAAAAAGAAGCGTAACTGTCAAAGTGCACGTCGCAAAACGTACCGGCTGAATTTTGTAGATTTTTAAACAAAGGAATTGTTCATAACAGATGAACAGCGTCGGTTTTACCTCACGGTATCTTTGTAAAAAATAAAATTAAAATAAAAATAAAACATCTTAAAATTTATAGAATTTATAACGGGTGATATCAAAATAAAACGTTTTGTTTGTCATTATTTCTTAATTAGAAAAGAAAATACATACTGTTACATATTGATGAACTTATAATATTTCTTACAGCATATGCAGCAGGACTAGGCCTGCCTGCTAATGTAGATATATGGGGGCTCCAGTGAAGCTTCGAGTCAACAGTATTACCAAGAAAAACAGTGGTATGCACAAAACTCAACTCCTCCCCATTTAAGAGCCCAATATTATTTACATTGTAAAAAATAATTGACTGTGATTTGAGTTTCAAAATTTAAAAGGTATCATAAGCAAATAATACTATTTAATGGTTGTCCCCTACAAGATAAGGTAAGTTATTAATATAGATTAAGAACAAGAATGGGCCAAGAATCGATCCTTGAGAAACGCCCATCGATACTACCGCCAATTAAGGGGAAATATAAATTTGAAATATATTTTTTTTTATAATTCACTTTATTTCTGTAAATATCCATGAAAAACCTATATTTCACACAATTTTGGTTAACTTAGCTGTAATATAACCATCATAAACAACTTCAGTATGTGAAATTTCCAGATTGACTACGTTAAACGTGGTACATGTCCGATAATATGATCTTCAACCCGCTTTCAAGATATTTCAATATTATGTGGGAATATGAACTTTCAATTAGCTTTAACTTTAGACGAAGTAAACTATTCGACCAGCAACTATTAGGGTATGAAGAAGATGAAATATATAATGAACTAAATTATCATTTAGTTTCCTGTATGTCAACTAAATATTTTAATGTTTTGATTTAGAATTACTAGATTTCTATGAAATACTCCATATTATGAGATAGTATGAACATTTACAAAAAAAAGATGAAAAAAATTAAAATTTTAATACAAATGAAATAATTACAACTGGAGAAAATCCCAGTCAAAGCATTTTATGGCCTACAAGTAACTGACAATTTTTAAGTCATCCATTACATACCATCAAAAATCCACTGCTGAACTCATAGAGGGGATATATTTCCATTCAAATAATATTCTTAGAGAGCGTGAAAGCTTTGCTGAATTTAGAAAAAAACATCTTTCGTTTTCTAAGTTTAATTGCCTTAATAAATCTTTCTAGTGGCGTTGTGGGGCCAGGAACATCTTGAAAGTGGCGGTTATGTATTTTCTTTATAATGATTATCTTAATAGTGTTGTTAATTTGACGGCTCCGTGGCGCAATGGCTTAGCAGTGCGTTTCTCGGGGGCCGTTGGTTTGAATCCCACATGAAACAAGTATTTTAGGGCTTGCAAATAATTGTTCCGTCTCTGGGTGTTTGTTCTTGTTAAATGTATGTATGTAAACTGCCACCAAGATAAAGGAGCAAATCGTAGTGTAAAGGTAGCGTTTAAAAAACAAAACAAAAATTAAGTAACTAATTATATTTTGATGTTTGTGACAAAATAATAATTATATTAATATTTAGTATACTTACGGTTATGCTGTCCCTTCTTTTCTGATCCATGTATGCTATTATTGTTTGTTTCATTTATTAAAATTATTAAACAGGTTCTACATTGTAACTTATTCATTTTAAATGTTAGAAATTGTGCTTGTGTGCTGTGTCCTCTCTACATAGGACACAAGAGACAAATAGCAAATGACATAGATATAAGGCGCCCTTCTTTCCAGCTGTTCCTTCACGTATGTATGGAAAGAGACAGACGTAATAGGTATTCCAAAACCGGGCAACGCGTAACTTAGCCTCTAGTTACAGACCAATTAGTCTTCTCAGCACACTGGGGAAAGTTTACGAGTGACTCATATTGAATCGAGTTCGTAAATACGTCTTCACCAACAAACTTCTTCCGTAAGAGCAGTTCGCCTTCAGACCCAAACACTCGTGCACCGACCAGTTAGAACGCCTCACAGAATACATTCCGAAAGGATTCAACTTCCCACAAAGTTGTCAGAACGTATTGTTTCACTTTTCGTTGGTTTCACTTCGATTCTCCATAAGCGGAACCAATCAACGGCTCCGTGGCGCAGTGGCTTAGCAATGAGTTGCTGCGCTGGGGGCGCGGGTTCGAATCCCGCACGGAACAAGTATTTGTATGGCCTACAAATGATTGTTCCGGGTCTGGATGTTTGTCCTTGTGAAATTTGGGTTTGGAAAACAGCCTCCACGATACAAGAGAAAATCCGAGTGTGGGGGTAATAAAAAAAATCGCCTAGGTGGTTGACGGCTGTTTGGAGCATCTTGGTGAGGTATCTTGAATGTGGATGAGCGACGAAAAGTGCCGTGTCATCTGCGAAAAGGGCAGTATGCACTACTGGGTTTTCGGAATGTCACTCGTGAAGAGTGTGAAGAGTCGTTGAGGCGCGAACTCGGGCGCTGGACGCGCTTGCGGAAATCACAGCGCAAATATCTGGGCAGGCACGACCGAAAAGTTAGGCAAGGCCGTCGATCGTTATCGACGCCATCTTTTTTGTAACACTAGACAGCACAGGTGTGTACCAAGCTCCCCCATTTTTTGCGAGAGAGGTGTGTGCTTAAAAAGAACACCTATATACCTAGCCCTTTGGTACGCTAGGGTGTGTACCTAGCTGTTGCATAATGCACCAAGCAACACAAAAATTATAAACGATGGCCACCTCTAAGGCATCGAGTGTGTTTCACTCTACTTACGGTTACCGATACCAGTACCAGAAAGCCAGGAAGGAGAGTTACGTACAAACACATTTTGCAACACAACAAGTGTCAAGGTTTTTAGTGAAAACTTGTGTGTATTTAAACTAGTTCTTCCGTATAATAATGCTATACGTAATTGTGTTAATTCGAAGGCATGTTCTATTTGATTTACCAATAGTTGTATAATATTTACTATAATGTACAAAATTGAAGGCAAAACTAATTTAAGATAATTTTAGTGTAATGGGAATATGATAAAGGACCTCAAGTAAATAGTGGGTGTATAAATGAAATATAATTTATTGCACACTAGAAAAACATATGAGAGAAAAAACAACAAATTATTTGAAAGTACAATTGAAGGCCTTATCGCTTAGGAGCGATTTCTAGCAGGCAACCACATTGTGGAGAAAATTATGATGAGCTATGAGAAAGTGTAACTGTGTACGTTTGTTGTAAGAATATATATCCGACATAATTTTTTTTATAGAATAGGGGGCAAACGAGCATGCGGCTCACCTGATGGTAAGTGACTACCGCCGCCCATATACAACTGCAACACCAGGGGAATCGCAAATGCGTTGCCGGCCTTTTAGAAAGGTGTAAGCTCTTTTCTTGAAGGTTAATAAGTCGTATCGGTCCGGAAAATTCGCTGGTGGTAATTGATTTCACAAGGAAGTTGTGCGAGGGAGAAAACTTCTTCTAAATCGCACAGTGGTGGACCGCCAATCATCCAGATGGTATAGATGGTAACACGAGTTTTGTCGCGATGTGGGATGGTGAAATTGAGCGGCTGGAATTAGTCCGAACAATTCCTCAGAACACTTCCCGTGATAGATGCGATAAAATACGCAAAGAGATGCAACATCTCTACGCAGTGCCAGTGTATCGAGCCGATCAGAAATAACTCGGTCGTCGACGATTCGAACTGCTCTGTGCTGGATGCGGTCAAGTGGAAGGAGCTGGCACTGTGGTGCCCTGGCCCAGAGATGAGAACAGTATTCCATGTGGAGCCGAACTTGGGCTTTGTAAAGTTGCAGGCGATGTGCCAGCATGAAATACTGTCTCGCTCTGCTGAGCACGCCAAGTTTCTAGAGGCCAATTTGGCCTTCTCATCCAAGTGACCATGAAACTGCACACTATACGATATGTAGACGCCAAGTATTCCGATACTAGATGAGGCAGCAAGGGGAGTGCCTTGAAACTGAGGAGATACGACAAAGGGTTTCTTTTTAGCGGTAAACGCCCATACTTGTGTCTTCTGGGGATTGAACTGGACTAGATTTAGTCGCCCCCAATCCGAGACTTTGTTAAGCAAAGACTCAACTTCAGATACAAGTTTGTTCCGGTACTCGGCGACGTTTTCCCGAGAAATATTGGCACGGCCACTATATAAGGCATCACCTGTGCTGTAGTCTGCATAGCAATGGATGCTACCAGTTAGCAAAACAGCGTTGGTGATAGCACGCAGCCTTGTGGAACACCAGCGTTGATAGGCTTAAAATCAGAGCATGCACCGTCTACTACGACCTTAATGCTTCGATCAGCAAGGAAACTGGTGATCCATATGCACAATTTCTCGGGAAGCCCATAGGAAGAAAGCTTAGAAAGAAGCGCTTTGTGCCAGACCCGAACGAAAGCCTTCGCTATGTCCAAACTAACGGCAAATGCCTTCCCCCTTGGACTCTATTGCCTCCGCCCATCTATGAGTCAGATATACTAGAAGATCACCAGCTGATCGACCCCGACGAAAAGCGTACTGGCGGTCACTAATCAGCTGGTGATCCTTTTCTACGTGGTAGAGCCATGCTGCAGCTATATTATGGATGTAGCACGAATGGGTCGGCTCGAACGGGGAAGGACCACGCTCTCACAGAAAACCAGCGTAAAATAGCAGCTTAACGCTGCTGTGTTTTGTATGGTGAGTGTAGAGAACCGGAGACCCTTTTTACTGGCAAAGAGGCATTCCATCTTAGTCCTCACGGGTGACAACGCATCTGCATCTTGAGTGTTTATTTAGGTGGTCTGTGTGCTCGTTTATCACCCGATCCTATAAAAAAAAAGGTACTTCATGTGCTGGCAGTTTAAAATGAATTCCATTATTTTCGAGAACTAGGAAGTGATGGAGATAGGCCTATAGTTTGATGGGTCTGAGCGGTCGCCTTTTTTAGGGATCGGGTGGACCAAAGCTGTCTTCCATGAATTTGGGACTACACCTTGGGGAGTAGGAGTACCGGAAAAGACGCGTTAAAACCGGTGCTAGCTCCGGAGCACACGTCTTTAGCACAATGGGAGGGAATCCATCGGGCCCACACGACTTGCTGACGTCTAGGGAGAAGAGTGCCTTGCGAACCGAGCGCTGTGTAAACCGCACATCCGGCATGGACCACTCACATTGCGGGATGGTCGGCGGTGTGTTCCCTCTGTTATCTAGAGTCGAGTTGGACGCAAAGATAGAGCTCAACAGATCGGCTTTCTCCTTTGCGGCATGGACCAGTGAGTCGTTTTCTCTGTGCAGAGATGAAAGAGATGGCTGAAAGAAGTTCCCTTGAACAGTCTTGGCGAGAGACCAGAATGCACAGGTTCCCGAAGGAAGGCAAACTACTTTCTCTATTCTGCCCAAGTCCTCAGACCTTGCTTTGGCAATTTGAAGGACCTGGAGGCGGAATTATACTTTTTTTTAATTGCGCTGGTGTTTACATCTAGAGACGTTGATGCGTCAGCCCAGGCCCGGTAGCACTCCTGCTTATAGCGTGATGCTATTTTACAGGAGCGACCAAACCATTGCTAGGATCTGGCTCCGATGGGCACCACTGAGAATGGAATAAAAAGTTCCATACCCTGAATTACCACATCAGCAACAGAATCGGCAACAACGCTGAGATTTTCCGGCGATAAGCAAACCCGCTCCCAAGGGTCGGATGCAAAAAAAGACCGCAATCCGTCCCAATCAGCTAACCTATAGTGCCAAACATGGCGGCAAGCTGCACATCGCAACTGCGATTGGAGCGTGAGTGGCACCGTACTCCGGATCAGACAATGGTCCGAAGAGCCCAGAGGGGCATCGACGGAGACCTGATATCCGTCCGGATGAGATGTCAGCAGAAGGTCCAACAGGGAAGGTACATGGTCTTCCACATCTAAGATCCGCGTAGGCGAAGTAACCAGTTGTGTTAGACCATATGCCAAAGCAGTCATAGACAGATCTACCGTATGATCGGTTAAACGAGAACCAAGCAATTCAGCGTGGTAGGCGTTAAAATCACCGAGTAAATCACGATCTCTGCGGATAGGACCTGTTGTAGCACGGAGTCTGTAGCCATTTTGACTTGGTCGATGAGTCGGTCTGTGTCGGCATTGCCGCTATGGGACCTATAGATTCACCCGTAGACGCGGAGATGGTTGTCGCTGTCTACGCGCAGCCATAGAATGGACAGGTCCGTACCTT